TATGGTGCTGACCAGTACTGACTGGCCAGATGACCTGCTTGCTCATTCCAGGAACAGCATTGCTGCATTTAGGGAAGAGGGCAATTGTAGCTGGATGAGATGTTTAAAGAGGCTGGAAATAGAGTCTCCATATATCAGCCAGGTCAGGAAGCAGGGAGGAGAGAGGACTCCAAACCCTGACTTCTCCACAGGTAAACCAAGCAGAGGTCTGGAAGCCAAGCAGAGCAGCCCTGTTGCTCTTCTGGGTTACCAAAAGCCAGCCTATGTATCAGATCGTGTCTCAGATGTGTCCCATCTTGGACTGCTCCCAGAGAGCCTGACACTTCCTTTTGACCTCCTTTCACAACAAGACTTGGTGGATGTGTCTTTGAAGCCCCGAGTGTAATCTGGGGACTTACTCACCAGAGCTGGGTCATGAGTAAGAAGCCTTCAGCATAATCTTAGCTTGTCTTCCCCTGCCTTCCCTCCCCTGGCCTCCATTTCCCAAGTGCTACTAATATTTGTTAACCATAAATACAGCTGTATCAGTATATGGCCAGAAGCCATTCAGTAGCTCCCCAGGGACATATAAGAGGGTAAATTCCTAACCGTGCCATTCAATATTTCTATGATTTGGCCAGACCTTCTCTCCAGCCTCAACTCTCTACTCTGTGACTGCTTCTGACCATCCAGTGATGCTGAGTGTGTGGTCCTTTGCACACACTCTGCTGTCTCTCACTTACATGCCTTTGCTCAGGTTCTATCTGAGTCACAAATTTCTTACCTATCTGTCCTGTTTGGTGTAAAAAAACACTCTAATTCATCTTCCAAGACTTAGGAGTTCTCTTTTCCAGGAATTGCTTCGTAATCTTCAAATTGGTCCTTCTTCCCCTCATATTTCCATCATGTGCCCCACAGTGCATGGGAAGGATCCCTCAGGAGTCTTAATGGACATGCTGAGGGAGGGACCATGTCTCATTCACCCCTAGTGTCCCTGGCACCTAACCCAATGCCTGGAATATAGCAGACATCAGTTCCTGGGTGTCTGGAGAACCAGCTGGAAAAGAACAGAGACAGGATGACAACGTTCCAAGCTTACAGAATAGGACCAGAGCCCCTGCACTGCATGCAGCCCAGCAATCTAACTTATGCTGCCCTTCCTGTCCCCTCACAATGGAGAGCCCCTCAGCATACCCCAACCTAAGGTGCCACAACTGTGATCTCATGGTGTCAGCTGCCCCCTGTCCCCAGGCTCTTCTCATCCCAGTTGGGCCTTGGCAGGCAGTGGAGACACACCCTGATGACTCCTATGTTGCCAGCAGTGAACTAAATATTTCACACCAAAACTTGCTTCATTTTCCCTGAAGGACAGCGACGTCTGAGTCACGGGAGAAGCAAGTAGGGCAGGTATGAATTCCTGTCTGCAAATTGAAATGTAATTTTTATAACATTTTAATTTCTGCGTCAGTCTTTTTTTCAGAGCCAGTTTCCCCCTGTTCCTTTACTTGGTGCAAGAGGGTTTGTGAGCCCTCTGGGTCAGGGCATATCTTGCCTGTGTCTTTGCTATCCTTGTGTTCACTCTGGTTCTTGCGGAAAGAGCCAATCTGGTTCAAGTCAGGTGGCTGCTGAGGAGACCTCATTCCACCTTCTATCTGTCGCTTTTGGGAGCCACAAAACCATGCTCAGCCTGTGGCCAGGACCTGTAAGCTGAGGCCACATCTGCCACTCAATGATCATCACCACTTCTCTAGAACCTTAAAGAGATAGGGCATAGTTTCATTCTGTGCTCAGAGTCTATGAATTTATGCTTGACATTTTTGATTGGTTAGTTTGGTTGCTTTTTGGTTCTGTTCAGCTGAATTTTGGCTACAGCATTTCTAACATTTGGCCCGGGAACCAGGGCTCAGAGGCCTCTTTCTCAGTGATCCACCTGCGTCTCTGCTGTCACAGTGCTCCATGTACTTTGCTGTCCCTCATTTGTGGCATCCTATTCTAGCCAGTGTATGTGGGAGTGAGGAGTGACGCACCTGCCTGTACTCACCTTATGTTCCGCCCACCCATGGGTGCTGTCCTGTTTCCAGCTCCTCAGAGCCTATCTTCTGCAAGTTAAAAGCCACAGAAGATTTTTTTCTTTGCTGTGATTCCTGCCATCATGTCCCTCCCCTGTGTCAGCAATTACAGACTGCAGCCCAGTTAGCAAATGAAACAAAGGGGCAAGGAGAAAGGGGGCATCTGAGGGAGAAATACAGTTAAGAACATAAGAAAACATAAACATCTGCAATAAATCAGGCACAGATTCAAGGATTTTACAGACATTAATCCATTAGGTCACAATAGCCTAGAGCAGAAGATATCATTATTGTTCACATTGTACAGATGAAGAAACTGACGTTAGATAGTGAGTAACTTGAAGAACTGGTACTTGAGTACAGGCAGCCGGACTCCAGGTTTTGTGCTCACTAAACAGCAGCTTCTCACTAACTGACGCCCTGTTGCACATGTTGTTTGTATTGTAGATCCTTCTTCCTTGAAGAAGTATAGGAGAAGAAATGTTGACAAACATTGCAATGGAAATTTTCTCTTTGCACTTGAGGTTTAAACTGGGAATCAATCATCCACATACATGTCACAAAAGAAAAAAAAGTCAAGAAGCCTTTAAAATAAAATCTACTAGCATCACTGCATTCATTTGCCTGGAGGAGCTTTGTGTTTTAGGCCCTTCAGCAGTGGAGTAAGAGTTACGGATCCTGATCTCAGAAAAAATCTACCAATTCCATGTATTTCACATTGAGTGTGGAGATAGTTGTATCTAATTCTGAGAACTATCATCCATTTTGAATGGAAAGGTACCCAAGGTCACTTGTGGGCTTTTAATTTTTCTAGAACAGCTGCTCTTAATACATTTGGTCTTCAGATTTTTTATAGTCTTTGAAGTACCTCCCTGGGGGGGGGGAAATGTATAGATTCAAATGTACATATAATTTGTCACAAAGCGTTGGGTAAATTACTGAGCTTCATACTGTGTGAACTCTTCCCAGAAGGGGAATTACTTTATTTTTTTCTGTATTTTCAATACTTAACAGTAAAGAATAAACTAAATGAGTTGGGTCCATTCTGCTCCTACCCCACATCCCAGCTCATCAGTACAGCTCTCTGTAGTACCAGAAGAAACAGAAAATCTTCCCCTGCTCTGCACTCACCCAAGATTCTCTGCAAATGCCTGCTGTTAACAAAAGACTCTGTTCTTTGTACACTGTATGCCCCTGCATTTGTTTCTGCCTGCCAGGCACAGACTTTTTGCAGGAGCTAATAAGAAGAGACCACCCCACTTTTTGAGCAATTTGGGGGTTCTGCAGACAACACTGTGAGTCTCCTGAGAGTCAGGGAACAAAATACTGAAGTGCTGTCCTTTTTATAAGCCCTTGAAGACTCCTTTCCACTCTCTTACTGCATGACTGGTAACTCCTTGACTGGAATCTCCCCTTTCAAAAGGTAATTCAATACATCAAGTTTTGAAATACCTTCTCAAAGAAAACAATAGGTTTCCCTGTACATCAAGACTATTCTGAAAGTGTAATTAAATCAGCTTCTCTAATCAGGCAGCAGAGAAAAGGTTGGGGTCAAGGCCAAGCATTATTCCCCCTTGAAGAAAACACAGAGATGGTTCAAGATAAACTCTGTAAGCAAGCTTGAGTTCTGTGCAAGAAATCATTGTAAGAGCAGATGCAAACCCTTACATGCTCATCATGTTTGGTGAGCTGGACTCATGATTATAAAGAATAAGTAGAGCAAATAAGGTGATAATAACTAAAAGATGCTGGAAAACAGGGGGTGCCCTCTTCATCCGCACTTCCCTGCTTTTTTCAATTTTATCAACCTTCTCTGTTTGGTTAGGAATTTTTTCCTGTGACCTATTCATGCTATCAGTGTTTAGGATCTGAACTGTGTTATTTACAGATTTCTGTGTGTGCTGTGAAAAGGGGTATCTTTGTCTCTTTAAGGGATCTTGTAACTATACTTCCACTAGCACCCAATTATAACTTTGTGTGTGTGCAAATATGTCTGTGTTTATATATGTGTCCGAGGGATTCAGAGGCGTGCACATACTAGAAAAGCACTCTGCCTCTGAGCTATACACCCAGACTCAGTAACTGTTTAATACATTTCCCAATTATGTTTATGATTACATAAACTGTATACATGGAAAATTATATTAACATTTCATATATTATAAACTATCACAAAAATAAATTGTAAGGGAATCAGATGAAATCATTATACAAAGAGCCCTGATTTTTTTTTTTTCCCCAAGAGACTCTGAATTCCTCTTTGGAATGTCAGCATCTTGCTTTGGAACACAGGCCTAGTGTGTCATCAAGTAGGTAACAACAGAGAAAAACTTCCCAGAAGTTATAAACCTGGTTGTCGTTGGTTCAGGTATGATGTGTAACATTCTTCAACATCTTCCACTGTTACAGGCGAATCCATCAGACATCACCAGAAAAATTTCCACAGAATTCCTTTAGTCCAGAGTCTATAAACACAGATGATTACTCTTTTCCTCTAAAACTGTGAACTTAAAGAAATTTTGTAATCTAGTACCAATTTTATGGTAAGTTTAAAGTATTAAAATTTGTGCATCTTGTATGTGTGTATCTTTGTCCCAAGAAAATGAATACTTTGAGTTTACAGAGTTCAGAGGGAGTAAATAATCTGATGGGTTCGTAGAGTTTCAGAAATACATCCACTTCTTCACCATGCTGTGTTGCAGCACGATTTCAGCATACGCTGCAGAGAATCAAAAATGAAGAGACTGTAGGAGGTAATTAGAAACTGAAGCTCAGCTCTTGAACACTGTATGGGCTACTAATTCTTGATGTACTTCTTCAGAGATACCCTAACCTGTTCTTTCATTCAAAACAACAAGGATAGAGACCTTAAATTCAACAAAAGATAAAATCTCAAGGAACATATGTCAAGAACCAAAAATCACAATAAACACAGAAGCAAGACACTATGAATGAACGAAGACAGAGGCTTTTGTTTATTCAAATTAAAACTTTTAAAATCAATTCATTAGCAAACAGCACGATAAAAATCATGAGAGACTAAAAGTTAATTAAAGGGAGAAGTGCACAGAGGTAACTAAGCAGTAAATTTGACTTTTGCTCTGGGTGTATTTGAAACCACGATTACCTTCCAGTTCTGTTTTGAAGAACTGTGGAAAGGGTGAGGGATACAAGACAAATCCCGACACCCAACCAAGGAGGCGGCTCTGAAAGGAAAACCCAAGAGGAATCTACGAACATCAGATGAAGCTGAGGACTAACAGAGGTGGTTGTAACAAGTGCTTCCTTTTCAGCCTTGGAGAGATGTTGAGAAAGAAAGCATCTCCATTGAAAATCCAGAAACATAACCCAGTTTTCATATGAATTTACAGCTCAATTCTTACTACAAAGTTAGAATTAATCTTAAAATGCCCACCTGTTGGAAATGACCCCTAAAATACCAGAGAGAGGCAAATGCAAAGAGAGGCAAATTTGAGGTGCAGCTAAAGCTAAAACCTCAAGGAGCATATATCCAGAGTCAAAAATCATAATAAACATAGAAACACAAGGCATTACGAATGAACAATTACAAAGTCAATAAAGAATATTTAAAATGAATCTAAAAGAATGTTTAAAAATAAAAAATAAGATTTAAAATCAAATCCAACATTGAAATTATACAGCAAAGCTTAAAATTATTTAAAGAAATAGGAAAGAGTATTGCAGAAATCACCTAGAACTCAGCACAGAGAGAAAATGAAATAGAAAACAACGTCAAGGTATTAACAACCTAGTAGCAAAGAACAAGTTTCAGAATCACAGAATCCAAATCAGAGTTGCAGAGGGCATAATAAAAAATGAGGATGAGGCACTATTTGAATTGAAAGTATCTAAGGATCTTCTGTTCTTATAAAAGTTTCCAGTTTTCATATTTAAATAGTAAACATATTTTAAAAAGATTAAAAGTTTTAAGAATTTACAGTTATGTGCAATATAATCATATTGTAGTTTTAAAGTAATAAGATGGTTTACTTGTAAGCAGCGAGCCTTCTTTCTTTCTGATCCTTCCATCTAGACTACAGGTATATACATTGTTGCTACCCACACCCAGAAATATGCTTAACCAATTTAGTTATCACACATTTTAGTCCCAGTATCTCATATTATAATCTAGTATCACATAGCAATGAGCCAGGTAGCACCCAGAAGCCGCATCTATGAGCACATGAAGCTTGGGGGGGGGATATATTGATACCACTCATACTAAGAAGTAAAGAGGGAGTAATCACAGTCAAGGTATTTACAGAGTGAATTGCTTGGGGTAGGGGTAAATACATTGATTTGTTTTAGATTTTGAAGTCTATTAGAAATTGCCACAGTTACTAAAGGAATACAATGCACACATTGAACAATTCTACTTCTAGGAATGTACTAGAATAGCCACCAACTGAAAACATAAATGTCTATGGGTAAAGAATAAGTTAAAATAATTATGGTATGACAATAAAGCAATATGCTACCATTAAACATACAATGTCTTATAAATGGTCTCAAGTACAAAATATTATGTGCTATTATACTTTATTTTAAAAAAGAATAAATACATGCATTTATGCCTAAATTTTCACAAGATATCTCTGAAAGATGCATAGGACAGTGACAACCATAATTGCCTCTGGGCTAACTTTTGAATTCTCTAGTGAATATGAACTTAAAAGGATTTTTTCTTTTAAATCTTATCAAATAACACCAACAAAAACAGGAGAAAATAAATCTTTGCATCATCTTGCAACTGTTGAATTGTTATTTCCTGATTCCTTGTTATTTTTAAAAGATCTTTCCTTTCCTGTTCACTAGTTGCAATTTTGTCTTCTAGGTCTGAAATTCTATCTTCACTTTTGTTGAGGTGAGTTTTGCCAACTTTCAATGGAATTTTTTATTTCCTGTATATCTCTTTGAATCTGCTTCATGCACCGTTTGTTTCTTATACTGTTCATTCAGGGACTCCATCTTTTTGCATTGGTCCTCTAATGTTTTAACTGTGTCTTCTTTAGATGTGTTTAGCATTTCTTTCATTACTTTTATCATTTCTTCTTTTACCTAGGAGATTTTTTCTGATTGGAGTTCTAAAGCTTCCTTGGGTTGTTTCTTTATTTCAGTTGATATCATTTCAGGCATTTCAGGTTGTATAGCTTATATTTTCTTCTATGTACATGGCTCCTAGGCTTTCTTGGGATGGGCTGGAGGTTTGAGATTGCATTTTGGTCTTTCATCTTGTCGTTTTCATATATTTCTATGTTTCAAGCGATGTTCTAAAGCTTCTCCTGGGCGTGTTGGAAATCACCTCCTGTGCCCTCAGCTCCTGGGACTGAATGGAGATTGCTGAGTGTAGCCCAGTCAGACCCGCAGGACTTCCCATGCCACCTCTGGTGTTCCAGGAAGCTGGGCGGGCTCCTAACCACTGTGGATGATGGTCCAAAGCTCTCCCTGGGCTAGCGCGGACATGCTGGAACTCACCTCATGTGCTCTCAGCTCCCTAGATTGAAAGAAGGTTGCCAGACATGGTGCAGTCAGGCCCAAGGAACCTCCCTATCCTCCTCCAGTGTTTCAGGGAGCTGGGCGAGCATCTAACCTCTGGGAGCCATGGTCTTAAGCTCTTCCTGGGCCAGTGCCAGGTCACTGGCCTCAGCTTCCCTGATTCAGGAGAAAATATATCGAGACAAACATTCAGAGGCGTGCACACATACACAGTACATAAAAGGACCCATGGCAAAAAAAAGTACTATCATAGAAAAAAAAAAACCAGTTAAAATATGCATTTGGACTTTCCAATGTCTCCTATGTGATAATACAGCTCTCAAATCCTTGCATTTATTGTGATGTCTAGGGTGAGCATTATACTTTCTCCTTCTGCATCTTAAGGTTTGACTCAGTTTTTTATTTTTACATCTCACAGATTATGTAGTATAGACATGTGTAGACACATACACATATGCAGAGACACACAAGATGCGTACAGAAACACAGATGCAAACACAGAGACACACACTTTATATATAATAGCGCAAAATAAAGTATGACAGTTACTATGTACCATATTTTATGGGCTTGGAAATTTTAACATATTGACTTATCTCAATTACATTAATGAGTTTTTAGAACATAAGAAATTCCACGGCGTGCCATATTACGCTCAGATTCAAAATTGTCCTCCTTTATCCTCTCAGAGCACTGGGAATACAGACATGTACCACCACACCTGGCTACCTCATATACTTTGAGTTTTTTCTTTTTCTTTTGACACATAAAAATGATATTATTTTCTTCCACATTAACATTTGCTTAAAAATTTAAAATCTATTATTTGTATATTTTGTTGTTCTCATCTAATAGACTTCTTGCTAAATTTGGTTTTATAGAAAAGGCTTCCTTCAGGCCTTTATGAAAGCAAACATTCACACTATACAAAATTGTCTTACAAGCAACCATATTACAATGTCTTAATGTCTTTGTTTATGTGACCTATAAGGTACCATGTGAAATGCATGCTGTGGCCGTGTGTGTGTGTGTGTGTGTGTGTGTGTGTGTGTGTGTGTGTAATATTTTTAAGCCTTAACTGAAATGAGTTACTCTTGGGATAAATGTCAGATTGAAAATTGGAGTGGGCTCCTGGGTGTTCAACTGAAAAGGTTAAACCCAGGACCCTCACCAACATGTTCAAGGGTCTTCAGGAACCCCTGGGCTACAAACCAGTTGCAGCTGGAGTTGAAGAATCAGTGTCCTGAAGGTTGATGAAGTAAGTGGCTTTCTGTGTCTTTCAATTGTCTGGGCAAAGTCACTTTCTTGCACAAGACAGTCTCATTTCAGATAAGCATGAGAAAAGTTTCTTTCACTGGAGGAGTTGTTTCTACCTTTTTGTTCTCTTGTCATAGAAGCATTTCATTTAAAACCAGAGAGAGAGGAGTCAATATGTAAGATAGGTGAGTGTGGAATGGGGCTAGAACATCTGAGAACTTCAAGCTCCTTCTCTTATGTTGTGGAGCTTTGTCAGCAGTGGTCTCAGACTTCAGTGTGCAAGAATCACACAAGAGACCACTAAAAATGCCAGGTGTGAATTTCACCCTGGATACTCTAAGCAGAAAGGCCCACGGCCTGCAGAGCCCAGAGTAAAAACTACCACGTGGTGGATCTCACGTTAGGTTCACTCTCTGAATTACTAATAAAGTGACAGGAACCAGAGACTCTCAGGCTTTCTATAGTCCATTTTTCCTTAATTTTCTATGCTATGCAAGTGTGAGGAGGTGTATTAGGCCAATGGAAAGAATTCTAAGAACTCATCTATTGTAAGGTAGCATTAGTAGTAATTCAAGGAACAAGATTCCATCCAATACTCATTTCCCAAATTATCTCAATAGAAGGAAATAGAGCATCCTCTAGATCATGTGGAATTGGTAGGGACACCAGCTGAAACCCTAAAAATAGCTGAATCATGTCATAGGCACAGTTAGGGAATTCCTTCCCGACATTTGGCTTCAATGGATTTCTGCAAATGCACAGCTGCTAGGCCAGGCAGTGCAAAAGTGCCTCATGATGAAACGAAGAGCCCGATCATTAGTGACCCCACATTTGACGTCCTATTTTCTTGCCTAATGAACTGGATATTAGTAGAACCTCTCTGTGTCCAGAATAGAAGAGTTTTGCAGGGTACGAAATGCACTGGTGTTTTTATTTTAGGAGTCGTAATGCATTTTGCTTTGGTGCTCACCTGTCTCTTTAGCTAGATAGACAGGATGCTACAGACTGGGATCAGTAGTTAGGGCTTTCTCTATCGAGCCTCTGTCACATTGTTTTTACTGTAGTCTAAAATACCAGATGACTCCACTTGGGAAGGAAAAACCTGGGAAATTTCTTCAGGTCATTGTCCTTCAAAGGTCATGAGGATACTTAAGTATATTGATAAAGGTTGCAGGATTACAGTTTTGTAAATGTAATGCATAGAACAATGTATTGGCCTAAAAACTAAGAATTCAATCAAGAGTTACACTTGATGTTCCTCTCGAACCTGTAATTTCAGAGAGCTAAGAATACAATAAGAAATATTATACAACTTGGTCTTTTCTCTTAAGAAGTATGGAAATTTTTAGTCTAAAATTTGCAAAGATCTCCAACTTTGGGAGCAAATAGTTGGATATAAAAAACATGAATATCAAGTATTAATCTAATTTTTAAATGAATGTATTAGAATTTGACTGCTAAAATGAGTACCACCTTCAAATAAACCTTAATTACAATGCAGTTGCCAGTTTTCAAAATATTTCGAGTCTTTATTTTTTGAATTGCCTATAAAGTTAGGTTGCAAGCCACTTTAAAAAAATGTCTCATTGCAATATATGTTAGCCTTTTGTAATATTATCTAATGTGTTTTAAAAAATCTCAACTAGACTATAACTCAAACTCTTACCATAGAGTATCATCTAAGGAAATTTAAATTTAAAGTTGAAATTTATTTTTATTTTTTGTTTAATGAAAGACTGCTGTTCTATTTTTCAGCTGCGAGTACTTTTTCAAAATACACCACAAATAGCAAACAATTTCTAGAACTTTTAGTTACTTACTAAAAGTCACAGCATTACATTATAGCCAAAGCTTGTTTTTAACACACACACACACACACAGACACACACACACACACACATACCCCTCAATTCTCAGCTTAATTATTCCCTTTACTCAACAGCTTGACTCTGAATGAAGCCTTTTTCAAAGATCTACTCCACGGCCGGATATGGTGGTGAATATATGTAATCTCAGCACTGAGGGCACTGAGGTAGGGGAGTGCCTTGAGTTTGAGGCTCCCTAGGCTGTGTAGTGAATTCAAGACTGGCCTGGACTGCAAAAAAAAAAAAAAAAAAAAAAAATCAGTCCTTATTAAATAGTGAGAATTGGGTTGGGGACTTAGCTCAGTGGCATAAGTGCCTGCCTGGCAAGTGCGAGGTCATATGTTCAATCCCCAGCCCCCACCCAAAAGCAAGAATTTGTCATCATAAAATGAAAGATTTCACAGACTTTCAGGGCAGTTTAAGACATCCTTAAGGAATTTTTAATGTTGATATTCAAAGATAATATGTTTTTATACGCTCAAAATTTAATGGGTTGTTTGAGAAAATCAACTTGGTCTACTAGCTACAGCTATTAAACACAGAGATCATTCTATAATATAGATCATTCAGATGACACTCACTGTGTTTATTAATTGAGATCTGAGATCTTGAGAATTGGGCAACAAGAGAGAACATTTGTATTTATATAACATAAATACATAAGCATGAGTGAAATGCTGTTATCGAAACGAGTGTGTGGCACATGTGCGTGTGCACGGGCATGCACTTGTGTGTGTGAATGTTGGAAACTGGGCAGAGGTGAGTGAGAAAAGCGCAGGTTCAAATTAACATCAAAGACATTTTTGAAAGCTGATAATTTCTAAATAAACAAGGAGAAGAACTTGAAGGATCAAAAAGAAGAGTTTGCTAACAACCTCTGCCATTAACATGTCGTGCTTATTCATTTTTGCTCCCTAGAAGTTGTATCCCATTAGTCATGTTTAAAATAGCTGAGGTTTAAATAGGCAGAAGTGACTGTGGAAGGTAACATATCAGTGATAAAATCATAAGTGTCATATTCATAAGTAGAAGAGAAAACTACCACATTTCTCCTAAGAAACCCTGGCATTGTTGGTGTTAATAGTGGCACTGTCATATGGTGAGGGTGATCTTGAGATTTATATAGCTTTTTTCCCCCAAATGGCTCCAGTGAAGCATACAGTGTAATTTCTGAAGTTTCACATGATCCCTGAAGCAAAAACACATGCAGTGAGTCACATATGTTTTGCATAAGTGGAAGAAAATGAGCCAAAGTGAGAAAACATATATATATATATATACAAATTTCTTACCAGAAGTAATACCTTTACTCCAGGGTGCATCTGGGAGCAGACCCTTAATTTGCAGACATACCATAACACTCCTGCCATACAAATCCACTGTGATGTGGCCCAGTAGACTCAAGCTTTCTTCTCATTGGTAACAGTTATACAAAGCGTGCATTTTGAAGTACTACCATGAGTTATTCCTGAAATACAATTTTTATTGTACTTTATCTAGATTCATATGAACTTTCCAAACATTAATCAGATTTTTTTAAAAGTAAGCACCATGACATTATAGAATTTAAATCTTGGCAACACAGCTCGAATTTCAGCCCCCATTTTCATACTGTGTGGAGTTAAACATTTGATTCCCTGAACCTCAGTTTCCTTTCCTGTTGTACTGGTCAGGGTTTTACTAGAGAGAACAGATATAACCCGGAATATACAGAAACAACAAGATTGGCTTACGATAGTCAGTCACAGAGTCCGATGAGGAAGCGTGCAGAGGGTGTCTATGCACTGGAGACCGAAGGATTCAATCCAAGATCTGGAGTTCACCCTAGTGTCTTGTGCAAGTCCACACCAGCAGGATGATGGGTCTGCGACAGAAGGCCGAAGGCTCTGTGATGGAAGGCTGAAGAGTCTACGCTGGGAAGCTGAAGAGTCTGTACTGGAAGCCAGGAGGCGAGGTCCAAACCAAAGGCGAAGACTGGAGCTTCTCCCAAGAATGGAATGGATTCGTCCTTCCTCCTCTCCTTTTATACCTCGAGGTGATAACTCACCCTAGGGTGGGTCTTCTTCTACATCCTTGGGTGTAGAATTGCTAAACCCATTTAGTTAGCTTCTAACTGTCTCAAGTTGACACAATCAATCAACCACTAGACCTGTCAAATGGGGATAACGATCAGTATCCCTCCTTCCTCAGTAAGTGAGATGATTTAATGTGTCACCTGTGGCAAACACCTGGGACAGAGAGGGCTCCCTTGGTGGTGGTGACCTTATCTTTCCCCTTTCAACCAACACACCGCACTCACTTCTCTTCTGTCAGTCTGGTCTCCGAGGTTGCATTCTGAGGGATGTAGAAAATGCAACACAAGGGCCAGGAGTTTAGCTCAGCAGCATAAGTCCTTGCTTGGCAAATAGAGGCTGTGAGTTCAATCCCTGGGCCAAAGAAAGAAAGAAAGAAAGAAAGAAGAAAGTAAGAAAGAAAGAAAGAAAGAAAGAAAGAAAGAAAGAAAGAAAGAAAGAAAGAAAGAAAGGAAAAGAAAATGCAACACAGGCTGCAGCCTGCCAAACACCTGAGCAGAGTCATGTGGGTGTTTGGGGGTTGGTTCTTTGTCACCACTGCTATGTAGTCTACAGAGCAGCTGGGCATTTACTGTTTTAAGTGTGTCAAGCATTATCCTCTCCAATGTCAATAATTAGCTTACTTCCACCCAGAGTTTACTGACCCACTTCACGTATTTGTTTGAAGATCAAGACCTGCGATACCAAAAAAAGGCAATGGAATGCAGTGCTCCAGTGTGCTAAATCTAGAAAGCTAGTCAGAGCTAACATCTGCCTGGGCTTTTGCAAAGAACCACTGTGCAAGCCTTTACTTTAAAATATAAAAGAAAATCCCCATAGTGATGCCTGCAGGACAGTGTTAATGAAATGAATCAAACTTTTAAAAAATACTCAGTGAAGGTTACAGTCATCTACAAATGTGTGGCAAGTTTCCAATTACACATTTTATTACTTGTGTTACTTTCGATGAGCATGTGCACAGAAGGATGGCACCATTCTACCCAAGCTGTCCTTGGAGGTGACATGCATCAGACACCAGAACGTTCTTCTGATTCTGTGATTGTCTGGAGGACTCATTAGGGCTCATGTGAGGACAGAGGCAGACAGTGTTGCTATGGTTTGCAGTCAGCTTTAAATGTTTGGAGTAGTGTTCCATTATTCAAAGCTAGTTTTGGGCTTTTTTCAAGTTAGATTACTGAATTTGTTTCTAATAAGCAATATCATGCCTTTCATGAAGTCATACTAGAATTTTACAAAAAGCTTCGGTGTAGCTAAATGTCATTCATATCTGCTTTAAATTGTACCAATATTTCAGGCTGTAATCCAATTCTGCACTCTGGCTTAGGTCCCTGAATTAGTTACCTTATGTTCATGGCTAAGGCAAAACACCTGATGCCCAAGTTGGGAAAGGAAAGGTTTATTTCTTACAGGTTTTAAACCAGTCCACACTCAGTTGGCTCCCAGGCAGATGAGCATGACTGGGCCGCCTTTCCTGGTTGCTGCAAACAGCAAAGTCGAACCAGCAAAGAGACAGAGACACCTTCTTCCTGCCATTACATCACATCCTGGCTCCACCCCCTGGTGGGTGGAGCACTGACACCATCGATCCAAGCACTAGACACTGAACGAATAACAAACACACAATTCAAACCATGAGGCCTGGGGGCCACAGACACAAACCACCACAGTCCCATAGGTATCCCCAAGACAGGGGCCTCCCAACTTTTCCTCTACCATAGAGCAGCCCAACTCAGTCTCCAGAGAAAGGGAAGAACCCTCTCTGTGGGGTCCAGAATGCGACTATACTCCCTCCTGGGATAGAACATCATTATACCTTCCCCTTGGGTATAGTCTCACCTCCCAGAATTTGAGTATGGCAAATTACAGAAGTCACAAGCCTGTCCCAATGTCTGGTGTATGTCACCACCAACACCACCTCCTCCAAACGACGGCCCCACTATCGGTGACAATGAGCTCAAGCAAATCATTTCCTTCTCATCTGCTCCTCAAGAGTCCCTGGAAAAGAAGCCCAAAGAACAAATCTTTTCTCCTAAACTGGTGATAGCTCCTAATTTTTGAAAAGCAACTGTTTGAACAGCAAAACATATATATCTCCCATGGAAAAAAACAATTTTTCTGGAAAGTTCTAGGGAAAAAATTTTTTTATCCCAGCAGACATAGAGTTCTGTTCTGACAGCTAATCAGCATTGTCAGGCACCTACTAATATCTCAGCAGGGAGTTCCACTCTTGGATTCCTTCTCCAGGTTCCAAGTTTTCTATAAATAAGAAAAATTCTATAAATACATACCTAAAATTTCTATAAATACATATCAAAAGGTCCCATCCTACAGCCCCATCACCAAAAATACAACCTCAAAAGTGGTAGTGTTCACACATCAAAAGATACCATTCAGTGTCAGTGGGGTATCCTATTTTATAAATGCAAAAAGTTTAGGAAGATCATTATTAAACTTTTCATTTCAATTACACAATCCCACAATATTACTCCTATCTAGTTCTTAATTATACTCACTTGCTATAGCAGCTGTAAAAATAGATATTCCTTATCTAAAACTGCCTTATATTAATATGGGGTACGTAGCGGTCGTTCTGGGAATTAGGCAAAATGTTGAAGAAAGATTTACAAAGCCTTAATGTCTTTAAGGAAGATTCTCTATTTGTCAATTTGCCAATGCCAGAAAGCCTATTTGCTTGTTCCCACTCCCATTTCCAGTGATAAGCACAACAAACAACTATCTTTCCTTTCTTTTCTGATACATTTTACATGTACAATTTCATTAGCAGTTTAGATGATGTGATCGGTGCACATAAAGTCCATAAAAAATCAATATTGTAGATCACTCGCACATTCAGAGTGGCTTCATTGTTGTTTTCAGTAATCCCAGTTATTAACAAAGGGGATTATAGTTTAAATTGTGCTGACAGCATTTGTATTAGACAAAAGCTACCACAGCCTTTAGTGGTTAATATTCCCCACTGCTGTTACAAATGCTTTTTTACTAAAAGTGGAAGAAAAGTGATTCTATCTTTATACAAATGTTATTCTCTAAAGAGATTATTTTGTAGATTGTGGAACCTTAAAAGACAGGTTAGTTAGTTTATAAATAGACAGGGAAGGGGCCTGAGATAGAGTGGGATGATCAGCCACCATGATAAGAATTACAATAAAAATAAGCAGTAGGGTAGGATTTTTGACCAAGAAAGGACTTCTTCTAGTGAAGGAATGCAGTCCCTTCCTACTACTAAGTTCCTGAGTTTCAAGGAATTTAAAATGCAGAATAATTGTTTTGTTTTGTTTAATCCAGGTTTTGTTTACACTCTCATGTTGACTAACTGGTTTAGACAGCTGGAGTTCCAACTGGTCATTTTAAACCCACTGAGCATCTGTGATAGGTGATCACGCAATACCTGAGCGCTTCACATTCCCTGCTTATCTGTCAGCTTTTCTGGACCAACAGAGGGTCTGGAATATCGTTTCAGGAACCTCTCTCAGATTCCCACCAGGAGCTACTTTTCTTCTTATATTTCCATTATACATTTGCCCTAATGCCTTCTTTCTGTGTGACTTTCTTTTTCAACTTTGTGAGACTCAGTACTACGATAGCTGTTTCAGAATCACTGAGGGAAGTTTGGTACACAGAACTGAGGACTCTAAGAATTTTAGAGATGTGGCTATAAATACCTTAACCCAGCTCGCTTAGTCAGTGCCTTTTAAATAGGAATGCCCATACTCCACTATGTAAGGTTGTAAGATGAGGTGTAAACTATATGATAAAGCCCCACAGAACAACACTGTTACAGGGCCTAACAAAAAGGAGGAACTTTGGAAGTATTTGATAAATTAGGAATCCCTTCTAGTTTATCAGTTTTATTGGGTGTCAAGTAATTTATTCTCATTAAACTAAATCTGCACATAGTGGACCTTAATTTATGCAAAAATTTAAAAATTTGTAGTCTAGAAAACGATTTTGATATGATTTAAAAAACTGATACATGGCATTACATCAAACTAAAACACTTTTGCACACCCAAAGAAACCATAGAATAAAGTGGCAACTTATAAAATGAGAGAAAATATTTCTGAATTACTCATTTCACTAGGAATTAACACCATGAATATGTAATTCAACAGCAGAAATTTAAAAAGAATGAGGAAGAAAACGAAAAAAATCTGAAAAATGGTCAAATAACTTCAATAGATATTTCTCGAAATAAGATATACAAATGAACAACACGTGAAAAAATTCTCCACATCTCTAATCATCAGAGAAATGTAAATCAGAACTACAATATAATATCGTCTTACCCAGTAAGAACAGCTCAATCAAAATGACAAAAAATAACAAATACTGAACAGGATGTGGGAAAAAGGGAATTCTTATACACTGTTCTTATACACTGTTGATAGGAATTAAATTAGTTCAACCATCACAGTATGGAAGTTCCTCAAAAAACTAGAAATAGAACTATTATACAACACAATAATTTCACCATGGGGTTTATACCCATAGAAAATGAAATTACATCAAAGAAACATATGCATTTCTGTGTTTTCTGCAACATTATTTACTAAAGACAAATTGTACAATCAACCCAGGTGTTCATTCATTATATACATAAATATATAACCTAAATATTCTACATGTATATATGTATACATAAATATATAAGCTAGGTATTATATATATACGTATTTGTGTATATCATTATACACATTGTGTATATACATATTTGTGCCTTTCATTAGAATTTCATTATATATGTCAGGCACAAAGAATGGAACATGGAAAGTAACAAAACACTCTAACTGTATTTCAGTCTAACTGTCCTGGACAAAACAACCTCACGGAAGCAGTGAGAGGTACTGTTCTAAGTGACTCTGGAAATGAGTGGGGCTGCAAGACTAAATGTGAAAGGGTGTGCACCCAAACACGGTGCTCTTGTTAATAACACAGTGTCCCTGTGTTATTAATTAGGGTACCACATACAATGAACACTCAAGTCTTGGTTTCCAATACCATTCTCCAAAAAAGAAACAAGATTCCATACAAGAAATACTAATTCTAGACATGGAATCAAAGATACACAAGATAAAACTACAGTATCTTGTAGTACCAGAGAGTTAGAAAAGTACGTTAAGCAAACCTACCAAACCCCACAATAATAAGGATATGCTAAAGAAACACAGATGCTAACTGAAAAAGCCCATGATCAAAATTCAAGCAGAGAAAACAAAGATTTGAGAAACAAAAGTAAATGAAGTGCATCCAATTGGACTGTAATTTGAAGCACAAAATGACTTTGCATAAGCCTGTGCAAATATAAATGACCAATGGAGCAAATAAATAATTAAAAGAAAGATAGAAAAGAAAAAAAATGTGTGCAGAAACATTCCAAACATGCTATGTACTCCTCATGAGGGAGGTATACTTCTTATGTAGGTGGTGCAGAGTGACTTCCTTCTAGGGTTCAGTATAGGAATGGAGGTAACTGCACACTGGGCAGCTGTCAAGCTCTACCTCAGCCAGGAGCCAAGGTCAACCCCAACCATGACAGATCACATAGACAGTCCCAGAATCCAGGGCTGAAAGTGACTGCTTATCTATGGTCTTCCTCCTAAAAACCCACAAGCTGTCAAATCTGAGAAAGACAGAAAACTAATCCTGAGGGACATTCTACAAAATATCTGGTCACTTGTCCTTAACACTGTCAAAGGCATCAAAAAAATTAAAAAAAGGAACAGTTACAATCTAGGAGCAGCTTAAAAAATTTGATAGCTAAGTGAAGTGTGCCAGAAAAAGAATATTATACAAAAACTCAGGAGATCTGCATGAATTATCAACTTTAGTTAATAATCACCAACTCATATGGATCAATTATCATAATAAACTAACATAGAGTGCTAATAATAGGGTACACTGAGCATAGGGTATGTGGGAGCTCGGTACTGTAATTATAATGTTTCTATAAACTCAGTCTTAAAATGTTTTATTTTTTAAAATTCTGGATATTTTTGGGTAAACTGTTCAAAAATGACTAAAGAAAGAGCATGGAGGCAGGAGAGTAGGGAACACCTCCAACCATCAGGTGTGTTTGACTCTTCTCTTGGCTAAAGTAGCCAGGTGGCAAGGTTTATGGCTTATGAAACACAGTCTTAAACTTTGAACTTTACCTAAGATAATTCCAAGGAAACTTCAAGCATTTACAATCTTTTTGTTGTTAAGCCGTGAAAAGAAAAAAAGAAGATTTGGAATCCTCTAATGATTAACCAGCATATTTGCATTATTCAGTGTTTTTTAAAGCATTCCAATTACAAAGAGTTAAATCAGTTATCAGCGTGACTCACTGAAATGTTTTCGTTTCTGTAGTATTTAAAGACAATAAATTAAATAAAGGTGCTTTATTTTAGCAGTATTTCCTTGTTCACTTTCGAAAGCCTTTAGAAGTTTATAATACCTGTACAGTTATTCAAATAACTCACTCAACCTCATTTTAGTAATTTCCCTTTCTACCTTTTATTCTGCTTACCTAAAATCTCTGGTAGCTCTTGAGGGTGAAATTTTTCATCAGTTTAGTTTGCATTTTCTATTTAAAGGCCCTTTAAAATATATTGCACTTATTTTTCATTGTGTGAGGTCTATCATACCTGTTAAATTATAACCTATGTTTAATCTTGAGTAAACGTGGTTATGAATAACTTCTTTATCAAATTAAATACATGTTCTCTTTTGCCTAATACATGTACCTTTGTAGATATTAAAAGGAGCTTTTCCCTTCCTTCTCTCTCTTTCTTCCAAGATACTTATTGAGCATCTACTGAGCCCAGAATTTAGAAAAACCAATTTAAGTACCATAGAGTTGGCATAGAGGAGCTTGCAGTGTAGTAGGAGAAACAGATTAAAGGGTGGGTAATCGAACACCGTTGTGAGAAGTGTTAGGCTAGCCATGTGCAAAGGATATTCATTATGAAACACAGGAAAGAAGGCTGTTACTCAAAAAGTAGAGGAGTCCTCTCTATGTTTCTTCTCCTTATTCAAAACATAGATCTCACTTATACAAGATTTTCTCTTAACTGAAACAAGATCCTTCAGATGTAATGAATTTAACTAATCCGTTCTTCATATCATATTCTGACATCTCTATAATATCTGCTGTTTAAAAAAAGGTGTTTGTGATAATCTTTGAAAGAGTAGTGAAATTCTTTCAGTGCTCTAGCCTTCTCCATATTAAATACAAAAAAAGAAGCTTGGAAACATGAGCAGATTTAACTGTTTCAGGCACTAATTGTCCAAATATTTGAATAGAAAGCCAGATTTCTAAGAGTTGAGAAGGCTACTAAAATAATTTTTAATATTTCTTTCAAATTTCCTTCTCAAATACTATTTTTAAACTGTAGGAAATTAAGGATGCATGACTTTTTAACATCAACCCAAAGTGACAAGTAACTATAAAGCCACAGTCAAATAGTGCCAATCTAATAGAGTCATCTCAATGACTCTTTGGCAGCAGAAAATGTCCTCATTGTAACTCTGCAAGAGACAAACTGGAAGCCAGTTAGAAGGGTCTTAGTGTCAGCTTTTGCTTCAAAATATGCTGCACATCATAAGCTCTTGTCTCATTTCTGTGTAAGGCAAAGCCTGCGGCAATGCACAAAACCACAGTATGTAAAGCATACAAAAGTCACCAACAAGTATTAACAGTGACCTAAAAACTCCAAGACAATCTGTTGGCTCAGTCTTCTATCCATCAAATTTAGCTGCGTACTTTCTATGGTATTTATTCAGGAAATACTTTATTACAATTCTTATTTATTGCTTAATACAAGAAAGAGATATTTCAAATCTGTTGACATTAGAGAAGAAATATTACTTACATAGAAACTCTGATTGTCCCACTATATTTACTTTATTGTGTATTTAAGTTGTGTCTTGCTGAATCTTACCCAAGGAAGCTTATGAAACCTTCAGGGTGACACTTGAACTCTCTTCTGTGAGAGCCAACAATTTCTGGAAGGAAGGAGACTGCTTCTTATACAAAGCTTTAGTATATTACCTGGCTCGAATAAAGCGTGGGTGGGAGTCTGGGTGAGTTTTGGTTTGTCAACAATAGTTTCACTAAATCAGGAATGTCCTGAAGGCAACTCTTTGTCTAAGCAGCCCGGCTGGTAGGTCCTGCTTCTGGTTCAGTTCACATTGAGAGCAGCAGGGCTGTGGAGGAATTTTAACTGGCACCAGCTCAGGTGAACCGACCCTTCCCTGCTTGTGGAGGTAACTGCTGAAGATCTGTTTCTTACTGAGTAAGAAAGACAGTGCTAGCAGAAGAAAGAAATAGGAACCAGGGATTCACCCAGATCAGAACAGCAGGAATACATCCTCAAATGCATAACCGGGCTTCCTTTCCCACCTCCAAGCACAGAATGGCAGTGGGAAGGGGTGAGGTGAGCACTCCATTCAAGAGAGGCCATGCAGAATCAACGCCAAACGGCTGCCTGTCTCAGTTACTTTCTCTTCTCTGCATCATATCACAAAGTGTAAAAGAGGGAAGATTTATTTTGCTCACAGGTTCAGTACACAGTTGGCTGGCTCCATGTAGGGCAGCAAGTAGAGGGGCACAGACAAAGAATTACTCAGATACGGCAGGGGGAAAAGACCAAGGAAGAAAGACAGGAGATAAACCTTTCCAGCCCGCACCCCCAGGGACCCATTTCTTCCAACCAGATCCACCTCCTAACAGCAAACCAGCGACAAGCCCTAAGGTCCAGTCACCTTCCAAAAGCCCTACTTGTGAGCCGATGAGTCTTAAAGGAACATTTTAGATATAAGTTATAACACTGCCCAAGACACTTTTGAAACATCTGTTATCCTTCTGTCTGGGCTCTTCCCTTCCCTTTATGGCTCTCCGTCATGTTCTTGAGAATCATCTGTAGTCATTCTTTCAGATTCTAATCATGCCACCTCTTCCAGGAAGTAGCTTTGCACCAGGATAATTTACATGTACCCAAGTTTCCATTACATGACAAAGTGTACACCACTCATAGGATGAGAGGGCGTCCTCTGGATTCT